CAACCTCCCTGCCATTACATCATATACACCAGTAATTGGCAGATTAGCATCCTCCTCAAACACTGAATTCAAATAATAAGCAAAAATACTAATTTTAGAAAATGATAAATATTCCGCCATAATTTTACCTGATTTCTACTCCAGGTGCAGCAGCTATATTTGACCAGGAGTTGGCACAGGCGTTCAGCTACTCAGCTTGGTGTTTGACAGAGGTTGGTGGAAGCAGTGGATAGAGGTCAGAAAGCAATTGGGCTTATCTTAGAGAGTATATGACCTTGTGGCTGCCACAACTGAAAGAGATATGGCTTTACAGCAGCAATGGCCAGGGGAAGCTGCTGCTTAAAGCCGAGGCCTATTCAACTCTAGGCAGCTAGAAAGTGTCTCCAAGCTGGGCAGACGGTTCTGAGCAGCTCATTTGCAGTGGGAATGCACTTGTGTGGTGCAGTGGGTCTGCTGGGAGCTGGGAGCACCTGTGGAGAGAGTGAGCTTTCCCGGCTCCGGAGGGACCTGTGGAGAGAGGGAGCTTTCCCAGCCTAGGCTACTGACACGGTTGAACCCACAGGCTGTCCCAAATGGGGTGTAGGTATATCCTGCTCCTGACAACCAGAAATAGTGAGAAATTACCAATATGGAGTCAGGTAGAAATATAAGGGTATTTAATAGGGAAAAGCCTTACTTACAGAGCAACCTAGCCAGCCGGTGTGGCAGCAGTCTGTACAGTGAGCCGAAAGGGGAAAAACAAAAGTGAAACCCAGCCAACTGAAACTCTTACTCTACTTCACCCTGACCATACCCTCCAAGACATGGTCAGGCACACCTTTAGCCAGCCCCTAAGCAGGCACCGGTACAGGTTCCCCTACAAGAAGGGAGGCAGGGAGAGAGGGAGGCAGGGAGGAAGGGAGGGAGGGAGCGAGGGAGAGAGGGGAAGAGGGAGAGAGGGAGGGACAGAGCTAAGCCACTGAGTCCTTTGCAGCTTTCCAGGGCAGAGGGAAAAGGAGAGAGAAACGGCAGAGGGACCAGCTGTGGGTGTGAAAGGCACAGGGTGGGGAGAGGAACCCACCAGGGTAGAAGTGATGGTGAGCACAGAGAGGCTACAGCCTGTAGGAGGGGCTCAGGGGACACTGTGCGCACACAGTGAGCAACAAGATCTGCAAGGGGCAGGACAGAAACAGCCAGGCTTGAGCTTCAGGCTTTGGCTCACACAGACCAGGCTGTGTCCCATTGTCACTGGGGATTGTGCTCTCCCTGTGACTGGCAACAACAAGGGACCCAAAAACTGGGCTCCCAGACATTGCCATCCTCCACATCTGATCCTGGCTTCCATCTTGTTGCCCCTAAGGTCCAAAATCTCTCCTAGTGGGGAGCAAAGGCCCCGGACAACCTGGGGAGTGGAAAGAAGATCGTGTCAACCTTTATTCCCAAAAACCTGGAATAGTGGCTGCCGTGTATACAAATTTCTGTGAAGAATCTGAGTGTAACAATGCTACCAGTGATGAAGTCCTAGTTGCCCACATTAGAACTCCAGGTATGTGATCCAGGGACGCAGAACTTCAGGTGGCTGCCAATGGGTGTCATTGCGAGTATACTGTTCATCCTCTTCCTTCTCTCTCCTCAGACTTGCCTGACACAAGCACCATCAAATGTCCTATCTGCTTGACGGATGAGAATTCCTGCCCAAACAACTTAGCCTACTGCCCTAATAAAACTGTTTGCTACTCAGGTAGCTTTAAG